CCATTCCCTCAAAGTCTTTCGCAGCAAACATCCAAAGGCAGCAGTTCTTTTCCTGTCCCGGCTCGACCCTCCTGCTTCCACCGTGCTTTTCAAAACTCCAGTAGAGCTGAGAGAACATCCTCTCCTGGGAGAAATTCATCCCACCAAGGCGACGGCACTTTAATGTTTACACGAAGCAGTCAGGCTGAACCATGTCTGCACATGCCACAGTCGGAATCGGACATGATTTCAAAACCGCCCTATCTTCATCGTCAATTAGTGCACTAGGAGTTGCTTTGGAGCCTGCCTTTTGCTCCAGTCTCTTGGCTTCTCAAAGCTTCCAGCCTTGCACACACCTGAGTGTGGTCCCATGGCTTCTCTGATGGAGTAGGGCCCTGGGAGGGAGCGGAAGCGCAGGGTTGATTTTGCTTCTAGCAGGAAATGCCCACGGCTCTGTGGCTCTCTGTTAGGCTGTGCTCCCAGGACTGATGCTCGGAGCTGTGCTGTGGCTGTCCAGCACAGCAAGCTCCCTACCTCCTGACTAACCTAGACAGTCCCCTGTTTGCAGCAGATTCCTCACATGTAATAGGCCACCAGGTCAGTGCTTACAGGTTCTGTTCTTGACATCTCAAGATGGTATCTTACCATTTCCCGGAAGGGCCCTCTTTGTCCGGAGCTCTCAGTGCCTGGAGAAGACCCTCCCCTCCTGCTCCTTGGAGAGCTTTTATGGATATACTTTAAACACTGAATATTCATTTCTCTGGTTTGTGTTTCTGCTTTGTATTTCTGTGTTATTGTTGAGACTTACGTTCAACAATGCATTTCTTTTTGCTTCATTCCATGGTTCTTTCTGGGTCCGCTTCCATTTTAACATGGTTTCCTTCGGGGAAGAGCTGCGTTGCACTTTATCTGCACAGATCCAGGTGTCTGAGGAGTGGCTGGTACTTAACACGCATGCACTGCGTGAGATAAGGGTCGAGTGTCTGGTGTGTTGTGTATCGCGGCATTTTGATTTTCTTCGTGTTGCAGTCTCAGTCCGGGGAACCAGAACAACTTACCTTGTACTTTTTCAACTGGGTGTTGCCTTTCCATGTGAGAAGCCAAGGAAATGAACCACAAATATGCTTATAAGGCATGCAGACACATCCTCGGTGGCTGTCAGTTCAACAGAACAGATTAATTAGTAGAAATTATCTTTCTTGGTACCAAAGAAAAACGGCCTCTCTTTGGAATACACTGTGCTGATGATCAGAAAATAAGCCAGGGCGCAGTGGTGCCAGCCCCTCCCCTCTGCCATCTGGAACAATGTTCTCGCATGGTGATGCCTCATCAGCTCCCTGTCCGCACTTCCCACCAGATCTTTATCTCTACTCCCCATTCTTAGCCTCTGCAAGAGGATGATGTGCGTGCTCTCTTCCCCGCCTCTTTCTTCTAGCAGTTTTTAGCTTCCTAATATACTAACTTCCTGTTTTGTTATCTCTACACGTTAAAAACTGTACCTATTAGAATCTTTTTATTTGTTTATTTTAATACATTTTAATTAAAGTAGAATTACATCTTTAAACAAAGAAAAACTTATGAAAGCAGAAGTGGCCTTTTACATGAGTTACAAACCCCCACAGATGGTCTAAGGAAGTAATATGTACATATAAAGATTGTAAAACCTAAAGTGTATCAGATGTTAAAGCTTTCTCCCTCTATCCATCTACCCTCCAAGTTCTTTACCAATGGCAATGACCAGTTTCTTTCATTGTTCCACAAGATATTTTACATATGGCAAATGCAAGCATATAAATTTGAAATGGGGGCGCTGGGGAGATGGCTCAGTGGTTTAGAGCACTTGTTGTTCTCGAAAAGGACATGGGTTCAGTTCTTACCACCCACATGGTGCCTCACAACTGTCTGTAACTCCAGTTCCCGGGACTCCAACACCACACTTGGTCACAAATTTCCTTTGTCTGGAGTAGGAACTGTAATAGGGCAAGGATCCCATCTGTCTTGTGCACCACTGTAGGGCTGGCACGTCCATCTAAGCCGGCTCACCACAAGCCTCTCAGTCATTTTGTTCAATGAATGCATGGGACACATCCAATTAGCTTATGTGTGCCGTAAATATTTACTTGTTCCTATTTTACTTATTTTAAAGCTGGTTTATGGTATTTTATCAAAATAGGAGCTATAGATTTTTTATTCAGCTGAATTTACCAATTTTCTTCTTGTGTAACTTTCTTTGCTATGTTCATAATTTTACCTATACTTGCTTTGAAAATGTTTGTGATTTCATCTTTAAGGTTCAAATCTTAGACTCTATAGAATTTATGTATATTTACAAGGGAAGGATCTAGTTTTGATTTTTCTCTTAGTAGTTGCTCAGTCTATCAACCTTCACTCAAGTGTCTGCTAGACAGCCTCAGCACAAGTCTACCATAACCACATTTCCACAGGCATTCGGCCTCTTGCCAAACTTGAGCTGTTTAAACCGCTAAGTTTCAGGACACATCTTAATGTCTGGTAGATCTACTTCTTTCTCATTTATTTCCTTGCACGTGATGTCTTTGTAGCTATGATTACATTCTTGGACTTTTTTCCCTAATAAATTCCACAACAATTTTGTTTATAACTGGTCCCTTTCTTCTCATTTTCCACAGAAAGAGAAACATGGTCTTTTTTTAAAATCTTTTTTTGCTCTTGTATGTTTATAAGAACAAAAGAATAGATAAGAAAACTACAGCACAAAGAAAATGTCTTATTTACTTATTTATTTATTTGTTTGTTTGTTTGTTTGCTTGTTTATTGGTGAGAGTCAACCCAGAATCTTAGACATGCCAGGCAAGTGCTCTACATAGAATCATACTTCTAGATCTTTAACAAAAATTTTGTAGCTGGCAAGTGATAATTGACTGAGTGAAACAGAAAAGGCAGAACCCATATTCAAGAAGCTGGAAGACACAGACTGACTAAAGTGCTGGATGTGGAGGTATGTGGCACCTGCCAAGGCTGGGTTAAAAATAAAAACAACTAGTTAGTTCTACAATGTAAAGTGGTCAGCCCTGATATCGTATACACAAGTGACACTAGCCAGACTCAACAGGTTGTAGTTAGACATTTATATATATGTATATAACAATGACAATCAAGGAATTTGAGAAGGAAAGTGTCAGTGGTGGGGGTTGGAATGAGTGAAGGGAAAGGGGAAGTGATGTGGTTAGTTTTTAATAAAATTTTGGAAATCTTAGTGAGGAGCTACAAGAGCCCTAGGCCCTCTCTGCCACCACACTGAATGTTGAGAGAAGTGTTTAAGAATGGAAATGGGCTATATGAGGAGGGGGATTGGGATTGGCATGAAGATAGTAATAAAGACATATAAATCTCATTCCATAATAGGACATAAAATTAATGTTACCAGAATTAATAAGTAGAATAGGAATGCTTATTGTGGAGATAATTTAGACAGGTAAGCATGCACACAAGAGGAATCAAAAATGGTATGGAGACAAAGGAGGGCAACACCTGCTTTTGCTTTATATAAACCTGGCAAGTGCTAGGATGTGTTCTCATACTTTGACTTATTTTTTGAAACAGGGTCTTAATAGGTAGCTAAGGATAGCTTCAAACTTAGTCTTTGGGCCCCAGCCTTCCAAGGGCTAAAATCACAGACCCGTACCACTCTGCCTAGCCATTTGACAGAGTGCTGAAACTTTCTGTATATATTAAGCTCAAAAGGAAGAAGGGGTAGGATAGTGTTTGGGGGTAGAGCACCCACAGAGCATGTCCATGCCCCTGGCTTTGGTCCCAAGGGGAAAATACAATTAAAAGATTAAAAGAAACAGACGACTTTATATCATTGTGGAAAAGTGAGAACTCTAGCACTAGGCTTGGCATCTAGATTCCGGGGAAGTGTTGAATGGGTGGATAGTATGTCATTATTTTGAAAACTCTCCAATTTCCCTTATTAGCGCTATATAAGAATGAGAATAGACTAATGGACTTTATAGACCGATAGGCAATAAATTTAGAGTATAATGTATAAGATACAAGTGTATTTCTTTGGCAATGACATTTGAATGAAATTTAAAAAGAAAAAGTCAGTATGAATTTTTAGTTTGTTTTAGACTTTTCACGAGGTGGTTCTAAAACACTAGCCATGGCCACAACCATTCGTTGGCATGCGTTTGTCAGAACCTGACAGCAGAGTTTCCACCAGAAAAATCTCTTTAGCCCAAGGGGTGGCTTATGACTTGGGCCTTTCTTCTGCTTTTGTCTGTCTTTGAAAATAGGATTAATACTTGGTCTGCCTGAAGGTAGGTGATGGGTATTCAGGAAATCCTGGCACTTAGTCCTATGGTGTAAGAGTACAAATGAATTATCTGTGGCCACAGGAGTTACTACATCCAAGAAGACAACCAGGATATTAGAAACTGGAGACTCACAGTCATGAGATGTATTTGGAACCCCAACTAGGGAGCCTGAAGTTCTGATAGCAGGGGAAATAACTGTTTAAAAAAACAGATGTAACTGTTATTAAGGCAGATCTTATTCTCCAAGGCTGAGAACACTTTACCAATAGAATTGCACTGCAGAATGGAGTCCAAAATTTTCTTTTAAGTTGCAATGGATTTTTACTAGGAAAGAAATGTTACAAAAATACTATGATAGTTTTGTGTGATATTCTTAAAGGAACTAATTTGATTTGTTTTTCTTTGTAAGACATAGATGAGTTTGAGCCACATTGTGTTGTCTTCTCTGTGTTTTGTACACCTTGGTCTAATTTTCTTGACCATGCACATTGGCTTTTTAATCTGACAATTTTACACTCACAGAGCTATTCTGTTAGACTAAGCTGCAATTATTTTTGCTGCCTACTTATAGAGGGAAAATAATTTCACGTCCAAATAGATTTAAGTAGAAGTTTCAGAAGTGAAATGTTGCCCCAGCTAAGGTTAAATGTGTAATTGATTTGGGGGCTGTCTGTACAGCCGTGTTAATTGAAAACCATATCTTCAAACTTTCATTGTTCCTAGAGTAAATTACTGGAAACTAAAGGACAGCACCAAGAGGAAGAAAGAGCCCAAATCCTTCAAGCTGAGCACTGGAGGTATAACTGGCCAATAAAATAAGCATCCTTGGTAAAATCAATTACTTATAAAGTTTTGCAGCATTTTGGGAAAATGTTAGAGCAACATTAAATAATGTTCTGAAATTAAAATCACTTCTAAACCTGTGTGTGCTATGCCAACTGCTACCTATCTATCTATCTATCTATCTATCTATCTATCTATCTATCTATCTATCTGCCTACCTACCTACCTACCTACCTACCTACCTACCTATCTATCTATCTATCTATCTATCTATCTATCTATCTATCTATCTATCTATCTATCTATCTGTCTGTCTATCGATCTACCTACCTACCTACCTACCTACCTATCTATCTATCTGTCTGTCTGTCTGTCTCTCTGTCTGTCTATCTATCTATCTATCTATCTATCTATCTATTCATTTGTATACATACATATGTATATGCATACAGAATATCCACACTTCTTGGGTTAAGGACATTCAAACTCCTATGAGAAGGCTGAATCACAGGGTTGGAGAAAATGGCTTAGTAGTTAAGAACACTTATTGCTCTTACAAAGGACCTGAGTTGAAGCCTTAGCGCCCACATCCAGCTACTCACAAATGCCTGTAACCCCTATTCCAGGGAGTAAAACCTGTCCCAGGGAAATCTGACACCGTCACTGGCTTCCTTGGGCACCTGTACTCACATGAGAATGCATGTGTTGGCTTAAAGAGAGAAGGCCAAACCACACTTTCTGTTTATTTAGGCTGTTATTTTGTCCCCTTCCCCGCGACAGAACATCACATCCCTCTGAGACCGCACGTTCCTGTTTGTAAACGACTTTGGCGTTATTGGATTGATATAGATGATTAGACACCAGTGCTTAGGAACAAACACTTGGGAAAAAACTCATTAAAGGTATTTTATGTTGACTAATATATTAGGGTGGGGGTAAAAATTCAAGATAGAAGCAGTAAGTAATTTTTAATAGATTAAATATTCTTTATTTTCTAGATTATAATATAATTACATTATTTCTCCCTTCTCTTTCCTCCCTCCAAACTCTCCCATATACTCTTCCTTGTTCTCTTTCGAATTTCTGCCCTCTTTTTTTCATTAATTGTTATTATGTGTGTGTGTGTGTGTGTGTGTATGTGTGTGTATACAGATATATCCCTGAATATATCATGCTTAGTCTGTATAGTGTTACTTGTATGTATGTTTTCAGGGCTGACCATTGGGTATTGGATAACCATCTGGCATGCTCTTCTCTGGGGAAGACTGTTTCTCTTGCTCTCGACATTTCTTGGTTGCCGGTAGCTCTTTGTGTAGGGTTGAGTCCTCTGGACTTTTCCCCATCCACTTTGGCATCCCTATGGGTATCATCTTTATTCAGCTCATGTTTGTACGGTCATGTTGGTGAGCTTTATGGGTGTAGCTTCTGACATTAGTAGCCTACGCAATCTCATAGGAAAGTCCCTGGTGTCAGATGTGTTTTGAGAATACCTGGTGAGACTCGACATAACATGTGTTAGAACATCGCTAATAACGCTATACTGACCGTAGCTGTAATGATAGGTTCTTCCTGCGAGGCCTCTGGGTGGAACATCTTAGAAGAATTTAGTGTAAGGGCTTTCATGATTTAAGGAAGCATATTCTTTTTGAAAGCAGATGACTTCTCTTACGTAACTTCCCCATCACTAAAATATGTCTTTTTAAAAAAATTTTATTTGTTTATTTTTATGAGTAAGGATATTTTGCCTACATGCATGTCTCTACACCATGTACATGCTTGGTGCCTGTAGAGGCCAGAAGAGGGGCATCAAATCCCCCGGGATAGAATTACAGATGGTTATAAGCCACCATATAGGTGCTGGGATTCGAACCTGGGTCCTCTGGAAAAGCAATGAGGGCTCTTGACTGCTCCGCCATCTCTCCAGTCCCACTGAAGTGTGTTTTTTAATTGTAATGCTTTCATTTTTTTTTTTTTTTTTGGTTTTTCGAGACAGGATTTCTCTGAGTAGCTTTGCGCCTTTCCTGGGACTCACTTGGTAGCCCAGGCTGGCCCCGAACTCACAGAGATCCGCCTGGCTCTGCCTCCCGAGTGCTGGGATTAAAGGCGTGCGCCACCACCGCCCGGCTTGCTTTCATTTTGTAAATGAGGGACTTGAAAGATGTCTAGTAGATGCTCCAGTCCTGAAGGTGCCTCTGACTGCTGGTGAGTGCTGATGCCCCTTTGAGTAGACTTTGCTGTTTCTAGGGTTCTCACAAAGTACTTTTAAAATGTTAAATGTGAGTTTATATGTTTTACTCTGATTTAGGGAAACATCAAAACCTTGAGATATTGGTTAGATCATTTTGTTAGGTAAACTGAGGGGAGGAAGGGACCTTTATTATTGCCTATGAAGTAGGCCATAAATTATCTAGTGTTTTTTTATTGGTTTTGCTCATTTTCTCTTTAGAAGACTTTTGGTTAGAAAAACACTGATATTATTTTTATATATACAGTGGTTGCTACCAGTAGCCAATTATTCTTCTGGGTTAATTAGATTAAAAAGCCTTAAGCATCTTAAAGATAACAGTGTGTCACATTAATAGTCCCCATTGCTAATACATTAACCTTTCATGGGTGCCAAATAAAAGTGCATGCTATTTGGTTAGAGGTGGAAAGGGTTGCATTTTTGTTACAAGAATCTTGGCCATCATTCTTTAAATTTATTGTCCATACTACCAAATACATAAATATTGTTGGGAATGTTTATTTTCTGTACCTATTTTCTCTCTTATTGATTCTGGTGACACATAGATCCAAATTAAACCCACCAGGAAATCTCTGTGGATAATAAACTCAGTAATCAAGTTTGAAACAACTAACCAAGCCTTTAGACAGATATTTTATATTCTTGATCAATTTTTGAAAAGAGTGTGCATTTGTACTGCCTTTAAAGTTTATAGCATGCATTCCCATGGTATCATGAGACACACATCCCATAATTCCTTAATGAACAAAAATAGTGGTGCCTCCTCTAAAGGCAACAACACAAACTATGTAGTATGCATGTAGGGTATATACATTAGATGTACCCTGGGGGCATGATTTCATCAGCATTCAAAAGGCGACAAGCATTCTCCTGTTTAGAAGTTGACATAGATAAGCACTCAACCTGCATTTATGATAGAAAGCTTGTGGGATTCCACGTGAGCTTTTCAATGCATCCTACAGTGAGTGTACACCTGGAACTGCACCTGACCCTGTATAACCACTTCAGCAAGGGAAGCACCTAAGAATCCCCGCAGAGAGCTGATAGATCACCAGTTTAAAGGCTCAAATAGATCTGGATTGTGAGGTGAATGCCAGAATGAACCCTATTGATTTATGAAAACTCAAACCATCTCTGAGTAATAGTTTTTAATCCAAACTAACCCTCAGGGAGAAAAAACAAACAAACAAACCCAGAGTACAAGTTTGACAACAATAAAATGTACAGTCTCAAACTAGTCAACAAAAATGTAGCAGGAATCTTTCCTCACTGTTTGGATTCTTGTTGCCGATGGAGAGAAACAAGCTGCGCATTCCGTGTCTTTGTCTCTGGTTGACCTATTCTGCAGTGGGCAAGTCAGTTGAGGATCTTCCTAAAGCACCATGGAGAACTCAGTCTCTCTTCCTCTTAGTAGCCAAGCTTGTGAGTGAACTTGCTTTATGAAAACCCAGTCAGAGCAGTTGACACTGAGCCATGTGTACTTTGTAATCCACATCAGTGAGCTTTTCATGGCACAGCCTCTGTCCACAGCCATGGATGTAGGGAGCATGTGCTGAGAAGTCCCATTCACTCAATGAATACGTTATCAGGGCACACTCAGCCCAGGCTCTATTCTAGGTAATGGGGTGAACCAGCGGAAAATAGTCCCCAACCACATGCAAATCACAAACCCAGAAACAATTACACAGTGAGACTTTTCCAAATGGTGGTGAAGACCATGACTGTGATATCAGAGTGAGCAGCTGGAGGTGACAGGTGATTAAAAGGCCTCATAGAAGAGCTAACATCAGAGGGTGGGGAAGACGCGGGTGCACAGAACTCAGAGGCAGAGACTCCTACTGGAAGGGCCCCTTATTGTCAGCAAAGCAGCAAGTGCAGAGGCTGTGTGGTGGGAATGAGGTTGGACTTTGCATCCCAAAGTTTGGATGACACTGGATGAAAAAGAGTAGAGAATGGAAGCTGGCCCAAAGTGGGAAGGATGAAATACGAGATTGCGTAAGGTAGTGACTCTTCTCAAGCCATGGGAGACTTTGAAGCAGAAGGAAGGTGTCTCAGTCACTGTTCTGTTGCTGTGAAGAGAAGCCATGACCAAGGCAGCTCTTATAAAAGAACACATTTAATTGGAGCTAGCTTACAGTTTTTGGAGGCTTTGTCCACTATTGGCAGGAAGCATGGCAGCATGCATTGGCAGACATGGTGCTGGAGAAGTAGTTGAGAGCTACATCCTGATCTGCATGCAGAGAGGGGGATACTGAGCTTGATATGGGCTTTTAAAACCTCAAAGCCTACCCCCAGGGACACACTTCCTTTAGCAAGGTCATACCTCCCAATCCTTTCAAACAGTGACACTCCTTGGTGACTAAGCATTCAAATCCATGAGCCTATGGGGGGCATTCTTATTCAAACCATCATTGGAGGTAAGATCACTTTTCTAACTTGGGGTGGGGTGGGGTGGAGGTTGTATTGTGAAGAATGAATGACAGGGTAGGGTAGAGACAGTAACCCAGAGAGGTGATAGGACATGAGTGAATTCAGGATGTGTTGATTAGTAAGACAGTTAAGATATCTGGTGGTTTGTATGGGGTGAGAGGTCATTGGGGAAACGATTGAGGGAAAACTCCTCCTTATGACTGACCAAAACCCTAGATAAAGGAGTTGGGGAGATGCTTCAGCCACAAAGGGCTTGCTGTGTAATCATGAGAACCTGAGTTTGGATCCTCAGTACCTGGGTAGAATGATAGACCCATCTATGGCCCCAGTGATTTGGTGTGGAGGGGATAGAGACAGTGGAGGCATGTTGGCCAGCCAGTCCAGCCAAACTGAGCAGCCCAAAGTTCCATGAGAGACACTGCCTTAAAAAGTAATAGAGAGAGAAATTGAGGCAAGCACCCAGTGTTAACCTCTCTCTGGCCTACACACACACACACACACACACACACACACACACACACACACACATGCACTAAAACCAGCATCAAGTGTGTCCACATTCCAGAATGCCTTTGGTTGTGTTGCTTACAGGGCAGTTTCCACTCGTGAGCATTCAAGGCTGTAATTTAGTAAGATTTTTCTCAGCCTGCCTGCTGAGAGATTCAGCATGGTGACTCAGACATGGGGTCCTGCAGTGGGCCAGGCTGTGGCACTTGCATAGGTTTCTAGGGTGAGAACAGAAAGCTGAGATGCAGCCATGCCTACAGGGAATACACTTGTAGAGAAACAGCTAGTCAATCCTCAGAGATCAAGATGAGCCCAAACACAGTTGATATCTTGGCTGGTGCTGAGTGAGCTCGGACTACATGACTGGGCCACCCAGCCATTGTTTTCATGCAGTTCCCCATCTCAGAGAGCTGTGACTTTGACCATCCACCAGGGCCTACTTCTGCTTTCCATGACTTCACAGGAGGCAGATGTGCTCAGTTCTCACCTTCCTTTCCTTCCACAAATGCATGCTGAATAGCTGCTTATGCTAGGTGCTGTTTCTGCCCCAAGAACTTTCTAGTCTTATCTTCTAAGTTTCTAAGTGACTCTGTTGCTATTTACCCAGCTTCTGAGTCCCTGCCTCTACTCAGCCATGCCTAGGTGACTTAGAGGATGGTGTTGAAATGCCCATAACTATTTAGAATAATAACTAATTATCAAGTGAGACTCCAGGTAGCCATCTGTAGAAATAGTCAGCGCATCTTATCTGTGAGTCTATTCATGGCTTGAACAGACTGAACTGAAAATACTCGGAAAAATTCTATATCTATAGTTATGTGTTATAACAATTTTCCTGCCCCATTCTTTAAAGAATACAGTGTAATAAGTCTTTACTCGTTATACAACATTGATACTGTATTAAATATTATAAGTAACCCACAGATCATTTAAAACATATAGGAGGACATGTGAAGGGTGGTAGTGCTATGTCATTCTACAGAAGAGACATGACATCAGTGTCCTCTGGTCCCCACAGGCAGCCCTGGAGTCAGCCCCTCATGGATACTGAGGGGTAACTTGTTAGACCACCTCTGGCAGCCTCCATCCTGACCTTTGCGAACATGATTGTCTCATTAATTCAGATTTAAGTTTTGAGGTTGGTGGCTGTAAGTGTGGCAGAACATCAGAGGAAGGTGTACTTATTCTGTCTTTTGGAACTTGAACTTCTTTCCTCTCCTTACAGCCTGCTGTTTTCCTTCGCCTTTCCTCTAGCGTGATTCCGGATGACTGACAGGGCCAGAGAGCTTAAGTGGGAACAGCTCTGTCCTGCCCAGCATTGCCACGGAGCTTCCCACCCCCCACTCCCCACCCCCACTCCCATTTAGTTCTTCCTGGTTCTTCCATCTCTAGCCTCTGTCTCATTCCTTGGCTTACTTGGGTGACCAGAGGACTAGCTAAGATGATGGAGACCCAGTGAGTGAAACTTTCAAGTCGAGAATTGATGCCCTTTTGGCTTGAGACACACCAGTACCAGCCTCCCAGTAAGGGACCCTTAGCAGACCCCATGCGTCACTGGACCGAGGTTTCCATAGACCTCCTCTAAGCCGAGGGGAAGAAGCATCCCACACCAGTTTGTACAGCACATTTGCTTCTCAGAAAACTCTTATCCCTGCAGCAGGCTTGCTACTTATGCACATTTTTCTTTGTTTTAAAGGGTAAATAATGCTTTTCTGGACCGACTCCAAGGCAAAAGTCAACCAGGTGGCCTCGAGCAGTCTGGAGGCTGTTGGAATATGAATAGTACCAACAGCTGGGTGAGTGTTTTCTTTTCTCTAAAGAAAAAAAAATGTTTCCAAGTCAAAGGATAAAAATAAGTGATCACTTAAAAATATATTGTGAATTCCCCCTAATCATCATCATCATCATCATCATCATCATCATCATCATCACCATCATCGTGTACTGTAAAGGGCAGCCAGGGTAATTAATATAAATTCAGCAGGGAAGAGAGAGTGGAGGAAAGAAAGGAAGGGGAAGGGAGGGAGCAGAGAGAGGAGGAGAGAAAGAGGAGGAGGGTAAGAAGAGTTTCAGTTTGGGCCAATTAAAAAACAAACAACAGGACACCTACCTTTTGTTCTTAGCACGTGCCGGCCTGGAAGGCTTTTTTTTTTTAATCACCTTTGCCCAGACCTGCAACAAAAACAAATGAAGATTTTTTCCCCCCCAAGGAAATTTGAAGTGAAATGTGGTTATGAAAACACTAAGCATTCTTCTCCAGTCATGGGGCCTCCTTGTGAACCCAGCACATCAAAGAAACTAGGATTTAACTTTTCACTACAATGTGATTTTTTTTAAAAAAAAAAGCCCTATAGCCAAAGGTATTTTTGGAAGATGAAATATCCTTACATATTTCTGTGGGAAAAACACCCTTGCAATTCTATGTGTTTAATGTATTTTTGTGTGCAATATTCTTGAACCTATAACAAAACTTCAAAATATGTGTGACTACAAGGTGTGCAGAGTCAGAAATCAATCACAATTTATTTTTTAGTTTAATTAAATCCCAAGTGAGTGAGGACTTAAAAGTATTTGTGTGTGTATGTATTTGTACGTGTGTGTGTGTGTGTGTGTGTGTGTGTGTGTGTGTGTGTATATATATATATATATATATATATATATGTATGTATATTTGGAGTGAGGAGATCAGATGTGTGTGTGTATGTATGTGTGTATGCATACATATGTGTGTGTGTCTATACATATATACCTGTATATTTGGAGTGAGGAGATCAGATAGATGTTTTTAAATCATCAAAATCTAACAAAATAATCAAGTGCTGGGCTGGTGAGATGGCTAAGTGGATAAAGGTATTCATCATCAAGCTTGATGACCTGAATTTGATCCCTGGGACCCACATGTTGGAAAGAGTGATCTCCCACAAGCTGTCAGCTGACCTCCATAGAAATAAATAACTCAATAAATAGTTAAAGTGCAAAAGCTCACTGTGGAGAAATCAATGCATTAACAATCTTATATGCAGGACGCCTCAGAAGGCAGCTAGAAGTTAAAATTGGTAGTTTTTATTAAAATATACGTATTGGAGATGATTGACCATGAGCACATTTATAGAGAATGTGTCTTGGATGGGTCTATTCTATTCACAATGTATGTTGATTTGCTCTGCTATGGCATTCAGAATCTGGACAACATGAAAGAGGGCGAACACATTTGAAACTCAGTCTCTAGGTTGTGAGCTTGTTCACGAGGCTTTGTGAGTAGGAGACATAAGAAAACATACTTCGAAATCAAATTTTGTCCAGGATTTGAAGCTCCACTGTTGAGTTTTAATCTCTCCACTACTCAGCAACTTCCAGGAGTCCTTGGAGAAGTGTCTAGGATCCAGGGAAGGTGTGGCAACATGTGAGTGCGTACATAGCAACTGGGATTCAGCTAAGGAGGTGACTTAAAACCCAGCTCCGCAGTGACTACTGGCGAACCTTAGAGAGTGGGTGACAAATTGTTGCTTAGATTCAACAGATCAAAGAGAAGACCGCTATGTTCTTAGGACACAATGGTGACAATGATTGGGTCAAAATGTTTTACCAGGACAGGCATATCCAAATCCAAGGTGGTTTTCGATTCTTCTCTTATTTGAAATTATGTGATAGAAAGGTGAGAACGTCCTCAGTCTCACCCCATCTTTATTCACTTACACATATTGAGACCTTGCTTAATTGTGGACCAGAGCATCTCTTTTTACCTGCTGGGACACTGTTCTACTAACATCCTTCTCTCCTGAGTCATCAAACATTCCATCAAAGTAGAAAATTCTACCAGTGTAACAGGAGCAAACATACATTTTGTTGATACATTGCTGCCACTGACTTAATTTCCTACTTTTTCAAAAGCCATCTCCTCTGTAGCTCAGGCTGGTGTGGACCTCTCATCCCCCCTTTTCCTGGTGCATAGGATTGCAGGTGTACACCATCGTGTTGTCTGCCTCTAGGGGTTTTTGTTGTTGTTCTTGCTGTTTTATGTGAGTCAACTTTACCAGTAGTTTTGTTTGTTTGTTTGTTTTATTATCTTTTCATGGCCACTGATAATGTCCACAGTGCAAAAACCCTTGGCTACCCTTCAAGTTTGATCTCTGGCTTCTCAGCACTTGGTGAGGTGAATCTTTTCTGCCTTTGAAATAGTTTCTAGGACACATTCCTTTGCTGGGATCCAACAAATCTTAGTGGTCATTTCCTTCCATTATCCTTCCCTGAATCTCCTGTACCCCAGGGAAGCCACATTCCCGACTACTTCATTAATACCTTCTCTGCCTGAAGAAACTAAGTATCTTCCATGTGCTTACTGTTCTTAACTTTCTGTTCCCAACCTAATCCTTTTCCTCTAGATTTGCACATCCAATTGGGTTGACTAAGATACATAACAGGCATTTCGGCCTCCATATGTCTAAAACTAAACTGCAAACATTTTCAGTCTGACCTTTCCCACCACCTTCACTAGCATTATCCTCTGTCTAGTTTCTCCCAGTGCACTTCCAAATCCTAACAGTTATTTCCTGGGTTGTTTTCTTATGTTCATAATTACATATCTAGAATCTGTTTTCAGTAGGAGAGCAACAGAGGCCATAGCTTGTCAATTTCCTCTTCAAAATCTTCCAGGGGCTTATAGAACTCCCTCAGCCACTTAGAGTAAGAGCTAGGATCCCCTCTCTAGCTCCCAGGGTGCTACATGAGGTGGAATCTGTCTCACCCCTGCTCTTTACTGTCATGGCTCTTTCTAGCTGCATCGGCATCCTTGGGGGTATTTAAAAACGTTCTGACACTGGCTGCCTCAGTTTGGGACCTTTATATACCTTCTCCCTTTATACACCTCTTCAAAGTATTTGTCATTTCTCTTCCTTCAAGAGCTTTCTCGGATTCCATCATGTTGATAGGATTTCCTTAGATTGCTAGTTTTTAAGCCTTGCGGTGCCCTCCCCACATCCCACTGTATTTTCCCACAACACTCTTCCTCCTCTACCATATTTCCCTAACACATCTATTTATACATTTGTCTGACTGTTTTGACCTCTCTGCACACAAGGATGGGTCTCTTGGATTGTTTTGTTTGCTAATATACCCCAAACAAGAAGCCATGCCTAGAATCTACTGCACACACAAGAGAAACAAGTCGTTGAGATTTCACATTATGAGCACAACAAAAGATTTAGGAGAACATTTTGATATAGTAAAATGAATAGGTATTGAATTTAAAAGAGCTGTGTAGGAAGCATTTGCTAAAATAAAAATGAGACTTGGAATAACGAGCAAAACCAAGGTACAATTAAAGATGGCCAGGGCCTGGAGAGAAGGCTCAGTGAAGAGGGCTTGCTGCACAGTCATGAGTGCCAGACCCCAGTACCCGTGAAACAAGCTGGGCTTTCCCAAAGCGTGCAAAGAATGAGTGACTGTGGAGTATTCATCCCCAAATGGCAATCTACATCTAAAGCTCAGGAAACATCACAGAAGGGGGGTGGGGGTGGGGTCGTAAGAGCTGGAGGACCAGGAGGAGTGCGATGACACAGTGTCTTCTGGACACGACAAGGCTGTAACACCCTTGAACTCCCAACAACGGGATTCCCTGCACAAGGCCTGCATGAGACCACATCAGCCAGCGTTCCAGCACCCATACATGAAGAGCACCCATGGATGAAGAGCACCCATGGATGAAGAGCACCCATGGATGAAGAGCACCCATGGTGCTATCCCTAGTTGAAGAGCTATAGAGAGTCGGGGGCTTCTAAGGAAGAGAAAGTCAGTTTTCTTCCAAGACAAGTTCCTTGATAGTTCAACCAAAGTACCTACACGCAGTACTAGTTGAACTCCATAGGTGTGTGTGTGTGTGTGTGTGTGTGTGTGTGTGTGTGTGTGTGTACATGTAGCAATTATTATGGAGGAGCACTTCATGAATTTGAGAATGGACTCTGTAGGGGAACATGGAGAAGAATTGGAGAGGGAGGGAGTAGAAGATACGATGAAAATTCACAGTAGTCATGCATGCAATTCTCAAAAAAGTACAAAAAGGACTTTTGCTCATAAACATAGGTTTAAAAATCATGAAATTTTTATAGACCTTTAAAAACATTAGGTAATATAACCTCATTAAGTTATACGTATCTCAGAACTGCAAACACGATGCTCTAGTTCGATTTTCTGTTGCTGTGATAAATGGCATGGCCAAAAACAACTTGGGAAGGAAATAATTTATTTCCCCTTATGGTTACAGTCCATCATGAAGGAATGTTAAGACAGGAAATCAAGGCAGGAACCAAAACAGTGATCATACCTTGCTTCTCCTGGTTTGCTCAGCTGCTTTTCTTAGATAGCCTGTATCCACCTGCCTGGGGTGGTACTTCCCACAGGGGACTGGGCCCTCAGACACCAATTAGCAGTCAAGAAAACGTCCCTCAGACATGCCCACCAATAGAGGCAAATAGTGTGTCAAGTTGACAACTGACTCTCATGATGGTACCCGGCTTATCATAAAACAAGCCATAAAAAAACTCCTAAAATAGTATATCTCATAAATTTTGTATGATCATTTCTACAGATACAGAGAAAGCATTTGATAAACTCAAGTGCTCATTTGTAGTCAAAAGCTCTATCAAAGGAGAAATAGAGGGCAAGTTTCTTTATTTAATAATGAAAGCAGAACTTCATAATAAAACAAAACTTCAACAAAAACCTTTCTGTTGAATTATGTATAAGTATTGAAAAGGAAAACAAATCTATAAATTACATCACATATGATGTGATCACCTACATAGGAATCTCAAAGAATATTTATTCATATTAGAGTAAATAAGGGCTCACCAATGTTGACTTATGTAGAATCAGTATATAAAACCTAAATTCATTTCTACACATTTAGAGCAAACAAGAAAACCAAACCAAAAATATCTGATTAAAAAATGTGAGAACTTTTTAAAGAATTGTAAGACATTTCAGAAAGACTCTAGGGAATAAATAGGGGCAAGCTGTATCCTGTTAATGGATAGGAATGAGTTTCCAGTTTACTAACTGTGGCTTAACTAATTGTGGAAGCAAAGAGTCAAGAAGAGTTGAAGATAAAGACATGTACATGAGGACTTAATTGTTTAGGATGGCTCAGAGTTGGTATTGGCAGGCCAAACATTTGTGGGCTTTTGATGTAGGACAGAGCAGTGGAGAACACATCCCTCGGGGGAAATGGACTCTGCAGCAGATGTGTTGAGGACCCATGTATAGCTACTGGAAATTAGACAACACTCTCCTGACACCATTTACAAAACTCACCTCTAGGGGGAGTCAAGCTTATAAAGAAAAACGAAACCTTTTTAGATTTTTAGAAGAAAATTAAAGACATTATTTATAAAATTGACCCAAAATATAAACGAAAAAGAAAAAATAACTATAGCTACATTAAAATTTAATATATCTATTCCTCAAAGGACCTCAATCCAAAGTCAGAAAAGAGTGCCAGAAATTGGTCTTTTATTCTGGGTGTATTTTGTAGATACCAATCAGACTAGAGTTAGTATGTAGGGTATATTCCAAATGGGTAATTTATTTAGAAGTGAATGGATGGCAATTGAGATTCTCTAAGTAATATGAGGAAAAAAGCTATGCCCCCAATGATGACTGGGAGGAAACATGGGAACCAGTAGAAAGCCAAAGGCAGAGAAGAAAAGGAAGAAGGCAAAAAATGAGGGACTATGGTAAAAATCCATGGAAAGAATAGTTCCTTGATATGTCACATAGATTCTTGGACAGGAGGCCCCTAATAAGTGTTATGTTGAAATGACAGATAGGATTGATCTTTATTTCTTAAACATTTTTTATTTCATTATAGCTTGATATTGCTTAATGTATATAGTTATTCTTCAACAATTTTAAATGGCATATATTTAAAAATGCATTTTTATTTTGTAAAGTTCCATGTTAGTTTTCATGAGGCACCTGATGTTGAACATGTTAAAAGTCACTGTCAAATGTTTGGTTACAATAATAGGCAAGACTTTGTGGGATATATCTCTGAATGCTTTGTCTTCAAGGACAGTTGAGAACTTGATATGACCTCTGAGTTTCCATAAAGGGCTAACAAATCAACAATTGTCTGTATCCCAAGTATAGTGTGGCCCAGTATTACAAAAGGATGATCCCTTGAACACAGTGGAAGTGGGCACTCATTAGTCCGTCTATCAACCTCAAGGTCGCCTTAGATGTCACCTTCCTGGTGAATAAGCCAGTGTGACTCCACTAATACATTTTCATTCCAATTCCTTTGACCCAGATTCTGTCCTTGCTGTGTTTGTGGAGGTGCCAACACTTAGGAACTCTAATATTTGTGACCCATGCTGGCCTGTGTGTAACAGCACAGTCACTAAGATGTCATTGGATAAGACATTACGTTCTCAGCAAAGATCATGTAGCAAACTAAATGCACCATGACTTAAAAATCAAATTCATTTCACTGGGACTTCAGTCATTAAAAAACAAAGAAGGTTACCTTAGTCTGATGCACTGCATATAGTTTGCAGGAACTCCATTTTGGGTTGTACAGGCTCCAGATTTTATTTTGCTATTTGTGGTAATTTATGTTTTCTTTTTATTTCAGGGTATTTGAGAAACAGTCACTACCATCGGGCTTTCATCAGCTGACCTTGAAAACCCTCATGAGATGCTTTTCCTTCACACAATTTTGTTTGGCTTCGGTCTTCATATCTCAACTTCAACTGCCCACCCACTCAGCTGAGCGGTTGTGGGTGGCCAGTTTTCCTCTGTCATTAGTTATGTGTGGATTTAGAGGCTCATTACCGACTCGTGTTTAATCTCTACTGCCAGCATAATGTTACCTTATTTTTCCTAATTAGTTCTGCCTCTTATTAGAAGGCTAATTAGAGCAATGTTAGTAAAATAGTAAAAGGGAATCACGTGACATTCAAGGTAGTTAGAGCTGTGGATGCTGTAGGCTTGTGTCTCCTAATTGACTATTTTTTTTCTTTACTAATTCTTACAGCAGGTTTGGGGATCCTTTGGGGTCTTTCTGAATTCCTACTTTCTTAATCTACAAATTTGAGCAAAAGGAGATCTCTTATACTTTTATAGACAAATTTATAAATAAATTCCCAACTACTTCTGTATAAATGGGTCATTTTTTTAAAATGAAAAGTTCTCAAAGAGTCTGATTATAACATTCATTTTTACAGTCCATACAGATCAAATACAGTAGGCAGTCACTCTTGGGTCTTTTCTTGGTCTTTATACATTGATTAGTGCTGTTCCCCTGATTTTCAAATGGGAAAAATTTGTTTATTGGAAAGCCAATATGTTTATAAAAATTAACTAGACAGCTATAGCCCCTTATCTGATTTGTAAGTATGAGGGGAACTTATCTTTTCTGTGTTCTATGGAGCCTAGTTTAATTAGCTCTCCTGTTCAAGCTCCGTGACCTTGAACAAGCTCATCATTCTTAGAGTAAAAGAATATTGATCTGTCTACTATGTAGTTCAGTCCCACAGCCACCTTTCCATTCTCTGTGGTGCATTGCATTTAGTCTTTCATAGAATTAAGGTTGGAGGAATGAATGTGTGTGTGTGTGTGTGTGTGTGTGTGTGTGTGTGTGTGTGTGTGTATAGATAATAGATATATAGATAGGTAGATTACAGACAGATAAGTTATAGAAAGAGAATAGATAAATGACAGAATAGATAGATGACAGAAGATGGAGTTGACAGACAGGTAGGTAGACAGAACTCTAATATTTATTAAACCAATAATACTTCGTAGCATCAAGACATCTTCTATTTCACCAAATGCCCTGTTAAGATTAATTTTCCAGATCTCTATATTCAGAGAAACATTGGGATTTGAAATCTTGCGCCATGACACATGACTAGGGCCATGGTGCCATGCAGAAAGCTCCATACTGGGTGGGGTGAAGGTGGCTAAGAACAAATGGTGTTCTGGCAATTTCTCTAGAACAACAAAAAATGCAGATACTTTTGTTTTCCTGTTCTCTGCCAACAGAAGCTGTGTGAGTGCTGCTGACACTGATATGAAATGTTTGGTCCATTCGAAACACTTGTTGTCATATATGAAGAAAGCTGAATCCCTCAGCCTGTGTTGGAAACACTGCCAAACCAATTGTAAATGTGCTGTGGTAGCAGACGTTTTGCTGCCATGGCAAGCAGCCACTTTAGCCATACACCCGCTAGCCTGGCTCCCTCACAGATGTGTTTGGTGTGTGTGTTCAGGAATGGTATTCCCCTCTGCGGTGACCGTCACTGTGGGACCAGGGGTAGGTGAAAGGATACGTTCTTCTTTGGAAGGCTCTTGGGGAAGTTGGCCCGAATCTCCTTCTTAGTATATGACATTTTCTGTCCTCCCCAGCAGATTGTTCGTGTGTCTGGTTCCACTTTTTTTTTTTAAGTGCAGGTATGGAAAATTACAATATCATGGCTGAAATTATGAATATGTATGGGCTGTAAGTATCTTTCTTAAGGAATTTCTTGAAGTATGTAGATGGAAGTTGCTAGGAAAGAAACATGAGCCATTGCCCGAGGGACCCTACTATTATGCCTTTCGTATTTAACCAGCCTTGTTGAACCAATTGGAATGAAGTTTGACTTTTAGGTAACTCTGGATAGGAAATCCTCAAGTCCTGTCTGTATTTCTATGCTTTGAGGGAGCTTTCTTTTTTCTGGGAAAGAAGCAAATTATTGTAAAATAATTTATGTGTTATAGAAATAAATATTGACTGCTACAGATAAGCAATTAACAAATTGATAATATTTCAGGTTTTATTCCTAGATAGTTAAAATTAAACTTTGTTGTGTATCCTTCTGGATCCTTTCCAGTACATGTATCAAAGGATGCTGTTGGCTGAGAGTGAGCTCCTAGAGTTTGAACTGGTGATTAAAATACACACTGGTGAGGTTGTCTTAATCCACTCAAGCTGTTTGAAGAAGCTTCCTGAGTCTGGCTAGCTTATGAACAGCATATTTATTCCTCATATTTCTGGAGGCTGGAAGTCCAAGACAGGGGGACTCCCAGACTTGATGTCTGGGGAGACATCACTTTCTGGCTGACCTCCTTCTTGGCATGTTCTCATGTAGTGGAAGAGGCAAGGGGTCTGTCTTGAGCCTCTCCTATAGAACACTGATCCCGTTCATATGGAGTCTATCCCTGTGACCTGATCACCTCCGGGAGCCTCCATTTCTTAATGCTTTTCACTGTAGGGATTGGGATTTGAACATATGACTTTGGTGGGATGATCTGTTAGTTCCTTGTCTCATCACTGTGATAAATGCCTGGCAAAAACAGCTGAAGGAAGGGAGGGAGGTAGGGAAGGAGAGAGATATGGATTAATTTTGGCTCATGGTTAGAGGATGCATTCCATCATGGTGAGGAGGGCAGGGTGGCAGGAGTTTGAAGCAGCTGGCTATGTTGGAAGCAGATGGAGATGAATTCTATTGCTCAGCTCATGTATTTCTCCTTAGATTCGGTCTGGGACTACAGTCCATGAAATGGTGCCACCCACTTTTAGTGTGGGTCTATCAGTTAAACCTCTCTGTAGTTAAACCATTACAGACACACACAGAGTTTTGTCTCCTTGGTGACTCTTAAGTTCTGTAATACTGACAGTTGATTAACCATCCTGTGGGGATAAAAACATAGGAGTCTTGACCTAAGTGATAAAACATTCTTCTCAAAGGGCCCTGCTAGTATTTATCAGCACCAGAAGTGTACAACAACACCCCAATACATGTACTTTCTCTAATAGAATTAGTGACTTTAAATCTTTGCCTATAGAATGAGTTAAACATGTCAATAGAGGGGTTACCCTCTTCTTCCCATGTGCTTCCTGCTCAGTGGCTTCAGCTTTGTGGAGAGGAGAATTTAGTTGTGTGTATACTTGCTTGGTTTGCAAAAGATCTGTCTATGCTGAAGTGTGATTTCACAGATATTCTTTTAATTTTTTGTGGAGGATTTTAGCCTTAAGTCCATTATTGAAGTTTGAAATATTTATGTATTTCAATTTACCAATCTTTTTCTTTTATTTCTGCTTGGTATCCATTTGATCAATTTTAAAACATACATATCAACACTTGGCCTAGTGGTCATCTGAATCAAACAAAAGATACCAGCTTCCTCATAGTAGATTTAGTTCTGAGTGACATAGGATAGATTGTCCCATTCCTGATGTGACACAGCTCTCTGTACTTGCTTTTTACTAGTTTATTTATTTTTATTTATTTATTTGTTTTTTATTTATTTATTTGTTATTTATTTATTTATTTATTTATTTATGTTTTTGTACTAGATACATATTTCTTATGGTCTTCACATACTCTGTTTAGGTTGAAAGAAAGCATTGGATTGTTTTAGCTGTGCTGGCTATTGACCCAAGGTCTTGGGCATGCTTGGCAAGCTCTCTACCACTGTGTTATGCCTCCATCTCTTGGTTTCTTGAGGCAGGTTGTACTGTGTGGTTGAGGCTGGCCTTACTATGTAGTCGAGGCTTGCCTTGAGGCCATGATCCTGCTGATGCTTCCCCCTTAATACTGGGGTTGCAGGCACACACCACCACTCCTAGCTAACACAGAATTTTTTTCTTTGGATTGATTTTGTTTTACAAAACATTATGGGCAGCCTATGAGTTGGTTGTCTTTCAAAAAGTGTGAGAAATTATATTGTCATTATAGCAAATGTAGATATACCCCCTCCAAATAAAACTCTTGACACTTATAAATATGAAAAATTTGGGTTGAAAGTCAAAATTTTATGACAATCCATGCTAAAATAAACAACTGAGTTCTGAAAGTGTATAAGCACTGAAACCATGTCTCCACGCCTGACTGCAAATTGCAAGCATTAAGCAGATAGGTCATGATTAGGTATACCTATTTATTCCCAAGAAAAGGGACCTGTGGAAGCCTGCCTGTCAGAAGAGGGAATAAGCATTGTATTAGAACAGCTAACAGATGGAAGAAAATAGCAAGAAGGCTGCGGGCGTTTTGTTTCTAACTCAAACTAAGCATGCAGGAGCTAGCTTTGTCCTGATGTGCATAAAGCAATCCTGGGTGCTGTGTAGCACATTTACATGAGGCTAAAAAATACACCTTTCAAGTCACTGTAAAAACTGCAGAGAATAAATGTACTTCAGGCCATTTTATTTTCAAGGAATGGGCTCTGTTTAGGAGCTCTTTTCTTTTTCAAATATGCCATTGCTCTAGAGTGGGGTTTAAAAAGCATCATAGAGAGAGGATTTTTTTCTTCATTCTGTTCTTAGACTTATAGGCTCCGGAGTGGCATTTTTTTTTTGTAAAAGGCAAATGGGGAAACACTCTCATGACATTTATTGTCATGATATTGTGCCATCTGCTGGGATAGAAGATGCAGGGAGGCCCGCACTGCAGCACACACAGATGCCACAGCTAATTTGTCACAGCCCTTTGGCTTTGCTGGCTGCTCAGCTGCTCTCCGTGTGCTGGAGTCGCCTTTCTGGCAGTCCCCAAAGATCAGGGGCTGCAGAGGAGCTGCTGAGAAAGTGACATTCTGTTCTTTACAAAATGCTAAGCCAGTGACCATCACCAGAGTCTACACTAGTTAGAAATGTTCATGTTTATGTTTTGGGAACCAGACTTATGCTAGAATGAAATGTAGCTTAGGACCAAGAGAAGAAACAGGAGAGGAATGTTTGACATTGAACAGTTTGAATTAAGAACTCGGAAGTCAACATTAAACTATTTATATTCTAGTCTGTTTGAAATATGAAGTAAGAAGGCATAAAATGAAGTGGTCTGGGTCCTCTTTAGGATTTGGAGCAGCTGTGATAAGATACCCATTTCTGGCCACACTAAGCAATCCCATCTCTCCCTAGTGTCTTAATTAATTCTCTCTCATCCATGCAACACCGCTGCTGTGCAGAGGCAGAGCTCCGTTCACACAGGCTCTCAGGGACCTGGCCCGATGGAGGTCCCTTCTCCTCCTGCATTTGCCCTACAGCAGAAGAACACAGTGGTTGTGCCTCACACCAGGCAGTGAAATGCTTTCTTCAGGAAATGACACACTTGGTTGTCGAGACACTCTCTTACCTTGGTGTTCACACTACTTCCCAACTCAGGAACTCCACCGCAGTGCATGCTTCAGCCTGGAGTCGCCAGAGATTGCATGTGTGTGCCACCATGTCCAGCTAACAAATGCAATGCCTGTTCATCTGTTTTTCTAAGTGGATGTATGAATGAAAGTGGACACACGCCACAGTGTGTGTGTGTGTGTGTGTGTGTGTGTGTGTGTGTGTGTGTGTGTGTGTGTGTGTGTGTGTTGGGGGAGGGGGGAGGGGGAGGGGGAGGGGGGAGGTCAGAGAACAACTTTTGGGAGTTTTTTCTCATCTCCCACCTTGCTGAGGCAGGTGATTTCCTGTTTCTGCTGTTGTGCTGAATACACCAGGCTAGCTGGTGTCGATGCCTCCTACCTCCTTGTAGGAGTGCTGAAATTAGAGCGACGTGCCACCACACGCAGCTTTTGTATATGAACTCAGGGTTTAACTCAGGTAATTGGGCTTGCACAGCTTCCACTTTTGCCTCCTGAGCCACACAAAAGACCATCTCCATTTTTTCCATTATGCTAGTCAGGCCAAATTATATGGCCATCTCTATCTTTTTATTATCATCATGCATTATTTACACACAATAATGAATTTCATTGTATATATGATCATTTACCCCAGTTAACCTCTCATGTCCCCATACCCCATTTACTTATCTTTAAAGACACTTGGAAAGAGGATTTCACAATGTTCTCAGAAGAAATTAAGAACATTTGTAAACAGGATGAGTAACTACCCCAAATGTGTAAGACTCACCCATGAAAACTTCTAATTAAAGATGCACATACATGTGAGGTAATATCAGATACCTAGTTCAGTCCAAAATCTGTTACGGGGATAGTATAGGTCAGGGACTGCACTAGATCTAGAGACTGCCATGATGTATAGGTCAGCCATAAGGAAGTCTAGGCTAGGAATGTGGCTTGGTGGAAGAACATCTGTGTAGTATGTGGGAAGTCCTGGATTTAAATCCCAGCACCATATAAAACCAATAGACAAAAATCTCTCATTTGAGTTAGGAGCATACACAGATAACCTAAGTCAAATATAATAAGAACTATGCAGAAAGATGAAGCAAGAGATATAAGGCACAGGTAAAACCTAAAACTTTGTGCATGCATCTCAAGTAGTTTACGCTTTTCAAAAGCCATAAGAAGGGAAGGGATCAAACTAGATATTTGTTTAAATAAATCATGAGTGATTGACTTATGGGATCCAGATTTGTGGAAATCGAGAACAAAGTCTGAGTACGTATTTAGTAAGCTGTAGGGGATGACATCAGCCCCAGTGAGCAGAGATGGAGGTCCCAGTCCAGAGCAGTGAGTATGGCTAGGGGGAAGAGAGTGCATATGTGTTGTTTGTAGGGCAGAGACAGAGTAACAAGTCAGAGGTAAATTTCATATGTGAATACATTGATGGTGACATGACCATAAAGGGAAAATCTGAAGTATTTCAAAGGGGAAAGAGGGTGTAGTCAAAAAGAACTTCAAAAACTAAAAATCTAAAAAAGCTACTCTGCCTTGTTCGGTGCCTTACTCCCAGGCTTATGTGTGGTGTCTGCTCATACTAGCCATGCAGGGAGCATTTGCTGAATGAATAGGTTGGTTTCAGGAATAAAACTGCCCTTGGTAGAAAGAAATAAGTATGGTGTTGGCTGGTAAGGGGTAGGATACAGAAAACTGGAGGAAAGCACATTGTACTGATGTGGGTGTAGAAATGTGTTGGAAGGGAGATAGAAAGAGAGAGAGAGAGAGAGAAAGAGAGAGAGAGAGAGAGAGAGAGAGAGAGAGAGAGAGAGAGAGAGAGAGAGACAGAGAGAGAGACAGAGAGAGAGAGAGACAGACAGAGACAGACAGAGACAGACAGAGAGACAGAGAGATACAGACAGAAAGAGAGATCCACAGGGCTGAGATGGTTGTGGCTGAGTATGAAATGGAATGGGGGATATATTGCAGTAGAGGAGAAGCACCCTGGAGAAACTTTCAGGCTCTTGGAGTTTCTCACAAGTAGTTTGCCAACTCCATATGTGACAGTCAAAGATGGAGGAACGTTTGTCTAATATCAGACTACACTGAACAGTTTTCATAGCCTCAAGCCCTGCTGTAGGCAACCACTGACATAAGCCAAATGGCTGGCTTTGCACACTGGTATGTGTAAAGGATGTTGGCAAAGGCTGTCCTTTAATTGCTGTGGATGGTGAACAGTGACCCTTTGGAACAGAAAGAAGAACCACTTGATCTGGGAGATACAGGGGTCCCACCCTGTGGTTCACTAGTGTTGAATTGTTGGATAAATCTCTTCCTTAGCTACCACACAGGACAGTGTTTCCATGAGTTGACAAGGTAAATGGTCTTAGTTAGCATGATGGCAAGGTAGAAGAATGGCAAGGAAGTGCTGACTTCGTGGAAAATGAAAGGACTCCATCATTACTAACACTGCTCGCTCTTCTTCCCTTCTCCCACCTGCCCCGTGCACGTGCAACCTTGGCAGTCTCCCCCCATCCTTGCATCGTCCATTGGCAGGAATTCCACTTCCATAAACCCCCAGCCCACTCTCCCTGCCCCAACTTCACAGCCACTCACCACTGTCAGAAAGGACTATCTGGTTTTGTCTCTTGCACCTTGCATCTACAGCCTAACAGGAAGGTTGGAATTTGGTGGACAAATGAATCCTTTGAGATTTGTGCCATCCCAAAGGATGGAGCTTGGGATTCTGAGATGGTACTTAACACTTGGAAAATGTAGATTTTAAAGAATCCAAGAAAGGATCATTGCAATACTATTCCTGAAGAGCGGACTCAAATGAATTGGTGAGCTTTTGAAGATGTAATTCATTTTAAGGTCATGTTTGATTTTTTTGAAACTTTAATACATGTAATACACTGTATTCTGAACACATCCTCCCTCATTGCCTCATCCTCATTTTTCTTGTCTCTTACCTCTCACCACACAGTATTTTTAAAACTTTTATTATACACACACTTTTTAAAAAGTGTCTGTATAAGATCTAATAGCCATAAATGAGGAAATGTGTGCAATATTTATCTTTATGAGGTTGGGTTAATTCATTTATATAGTTATCTTTATTTTCTT